TGATAATTCAGTTGTTTAAATTTAAAAATTTTTTTCAAAAATATATTAAATTGAATTCAATATATATTGAAAACGAGAGTAACTTTACTACTTTTAAATTTATAGTAAGCAATTTTACAGATTTACAGTTTTAATGTATTTTTTTAAATTACTTTAACAATTTTAAAAATTGTTAAAGTAATTAAAAAAACAAAATTCTAATCTAAAATTTATAAATTTTAGGCTAGAATTTTATTTATAAATTTTAGACTAGAATTTTATTTATAAATTTTAGACTAGAATAAAAAAACAAAATTCTAGTCTAAAATTTGTGAATAAATTATATTATTTGTCTTGCTTTATTACAAACTTATTACACAAACCAGAGGTTTCAACTTTTGATACAATTATATATATATATATATATATATATATATATATATATATATATATATATATATATATATATATATATATATATATATATATATATATATATATATATATATATATATATATATATATATATTAGGGCCCTGCGAATCACCTTTATTGGTATCAAATCGTATCTGAATCGAATCAGGCGTTGATATGCAAATCGAGTCGAATCAATTCTCTTGATTCAATTAGATTTGCAAATCAAGAATTGCTTCGAATCGTGATTTGATTCGAAACTAAAAAATGTGATTTGCAAGGCCCTAATATATATATATATATATATATATATATATATACACACACACACACACACACACACACACACACACACACACACACACACACACACACACACACACACACACACACACACACACACACACACACACACACACACACACACACACACACACATATAGAGACAGCATGGAAAATAAGAAATTGAAGAGCAGTCAATTCTACCTGCTAACATATAGAAATGACAATCAATTGTTTTTTTTTGGCATTTAAAATTTTAACTTTTTTTTTTTTAATTTTTAAAAATTTTACAAACAAATTCTACAATTCTTAATGACTGAACTTTATAAATAAAAAAATAACTTAATGCTTGAAAATTAATGAATTTGTATTCCTTTTAAATCAAAGCATTTTGAAACGGAAATGTGCAATTAACTTGCATAATGTTCAAATTACTTGCTGATATTAATAGTTTAAAATAAATATCGCATGCAGACTTCATTCAATTAAAATGGAAGTTTGATAATATCCAAGTAATTTAATGTTAAAATATCAAAACAATTTGATAATTTTAAACTTATTTAAAATTAATTTATTCATTGCTATGACTTCACAAATGTTAAAAAAGCTACGAGAAGAAAATCTAATAGCTAATTGTAACATATAATGAATTATATATTTTTTTAACAGAAAAAAAAGCCCAAACATACAATTAGTAATTTTAAATTTATCTATAAATCATTCATGCATCTATTGCAATTTGCAGGAAAAACTTACAAGAAAATAAATAAAAAGATTTAAAGAAAAAAAAAAAGGATTAAGTAGAGTTGAAATAAAAAATGTTCTTAGTTAAATACAACAATTATTATATTAGTTAAATACAACAACTATTATGTATTATTTTATTATTATTATTAGAATAATATATTAAAAACTTTTACTAAAATAATAATAAAATAAGAACTTAAATCATTTATGGTAAAAGGATTTTCACCATTAGTAAAATAAAAGTAATCTAAATAAGTGAAGCAAAAAAATATTAGATTTAGTTTTATGTCATGTGTAATATTCATAAAATTCAACGAATTAAAGAAGCATATAAAAAATATATTAAAAGCGCATTTTTAAGATTCAACCATGACTGCCAAGAATTCATTTCTTGGCAGCCATGGTTAACTATTGTCTAAAACTTGACTGAGAGGTCAAAATAGACATTTCAATCATTTTGGGTGGTCATTGACCATTGACTGACTCTTATTTTCTATGCTGTGTATATATTATATATAATATATATATATATATATATATATATATAGATATAGATATATGTATCAGTCTTCTCTGTTTAGCCAGCGCTTTCACTCTCAAGTTTATTTGCGCTTGCTTAAACGCCTGCAAAAAAAATTTTTTTGTTCATTTTAATCATCATAACACTACAGCATTCAAAATTGAGCTTTTTTTTATCTCAGCTAATTTTTACAAAAGCCCATAGTCTTAAGGTTCATTTGCTGTGACATTGTTAGACAAAAACTTTTCTTTTAGCAGTCAGTAAATGTTTTAGTAACATTAGCATGAATTTTTTAACGTTGTGAATGATCTTCTTTTGATGAACATTTAATTTAGACTTAGATGATATTTTGTTTAGGGATTCTTATTATTAGTTATTATTTCTTGTATAAGCAGAAAGAAAATGGTACAAACTTTGTCAGAAATAAATAGACTACTTATACAATAAAACTTTTCATAATTTAGCAGAGGTATTAACTAGCAAATAGTTCTAAGTGAGTAATCATTTGAAAATAATAAAACTGCAATATATACTTGATTGACAGTTAACATCTTTGCTAACCTCTGTAAAGAATTAGTATTAATGTGTTTTAAGTTTATGAATCAATTTGTTATCAGTTTAACATGTTCACACTGACGTGTACCACCGGTGGTACACACTAGACTGTCTCATTGGGCGGCGTGTACCACTGGTGGTACACACTAGACTGTCTCATTGGGCAGCGTGTACCACCGGTGGTACACACCGCCCAATGAGACAGTCTAGTGTGTACCACCGGTGGTACACGCCGGCATGAACATGTTAAACATAAGCACATTTTTTTCAGATAACACCTTTGTCCCTTCAATTTAGACAACTAATATATAATATCAACTTAAGTTTCTAATTAACAGAATTGTTAAAAGATCTCAAAAAAAAAACTTTGTAGAAAATAGGTTGTATTTGTAAAAATTAAAAATTTTATCTTTATTATCAGTTCAGTTTCAATATAATTTTAAGACTTATGCAAATTTTTTTTATGCAGAAACAAATTTAATTCAAACTTTTGCTAAAATAAATTAAATTTTATTTACTACATTTATTGAAAATTATTGGATACGTCTATGATTTTAAAAATGATCTTAAAAAATTTTCAAACAAAATAGGAACATCCGATAGAAAAGAAGTTATAAATTAGTTTCAGATGTTTGATGTGATAAAGATGTTTAAAATAAGAATTATATTGCAATAATGCTTTTAGTAAAGATCTTTTTATAAAAGAAATTTTTTTAAATGGCTTTACATATGGCTGAGAATTACTAAAAGCTTATAATGCTACAAGTAATTATCTAAGAAAATAACAAATCAACAGACAGGCTTTAAAAAAATATTTCTTATAAAAAATTTTTTACGTTATAATATTTAAACAGAAAGAATTTTTTATTGTGCTGATTGAGGTGTGTTTAAGTTGTAACATAAAAATGTATTTCTTAAGGTTAATTACACTCGACACAATACTGGTGCATAAGTTATTATAGATGTCTTTATTAGCATTTAAAAACTCAGACACTAAGTTTATAGAAAAAATATTGACAATCAGTTAAAAATGATGGTAGCTAGCCCACAATCAAGTTTTGTGATCCACAATAAAAAGGCTAAATTTATCTAATTTCTAACAACCAATAAGTAAATAACAACTCTTTAAAGGTAAAAAAAAACAGTTTTTTTTAATATAAAAAAGTTATAATAAAGCTTATTTTAATGGTTTAATTATTTAAACATTTAGAATTTTATTTAGGCATGATTTTTAATAAATTGCTACATTTATTTTGGTATTTATAATACTGCATTTTAGAGGAAATTAGTTTGATTCAAGCACCAATTTTTTATACTGTCATCTTTATATCTAGCTATAATTAAATGATATACAGTAGTTGCTTTCATAAAAATATTCTATTCTATTTTGCAATGTAATTTTTAGCTTTTTTTAAAGTGTGGGTGTTATTAAGACTTATCGTGGGAATTTTTTTTTTTTATAAAATTTTTTATTTTGACTTATGGAATTTTTAGAATTGACTTTGAAATTTTTATTAATACTAATAACTTATTCATACTTACAAAAAACAGTTTTTGTTAATCAAGTAATTTATTTTTATAGAACATATTCAATTCTTAACCGAATAAAAGTATGAAAATATAGATCTTAAGAAAAAAAGAGATCAATCAATAATGTGAAATTTTAGAATACTCTGCACTGACCTGCATGCCATAAAAAATAATCAGAAAAAGAGTTCAAAAGTGTAACAAAGGAATACCTTACTGCCATGTTACACGAAGTATATAAACAAAAATACTGCTTATGGGTATATAAAAAAACAATATATAATCATCTGTTAAATGAAATATTAAAATAAAATTTGAAACAATACATATTCACAATCAAACTTTTTTTAGCCTTTACCGGATTAGGTTTATGTGTGACAAGCCATACATTTAATATAAATCTCAGATTGCAACATAAAAAAAAAATGATACCAAATGATCCCAGAATTAGGATTTGCAGTTGTTTAATAGTTTATTTAATATTAATTTATTTAATTTTACTGATAAAATCTATAACATTTGTTCCTAAATTTTTCTTTAGATTTTTACAACAACTATTAAAAGATTGATAAAAATCTTTTAACTAAGCATATTTAAACTAACAACATTTTCATATCATTTAGTAAATACTTAAGATTTAAGATTTATTCAGTATAAACTTGCAATTAAAGAATGCAGTAACAGTTGAGTAAACAAATATGACAGATGGAAGTGCATTTATGTAAAATTTTATATTGTTATTCTTATAATCAATTTGGCATTTCATTTTGTTTTCTTAAACTTATGTTATGTTGATCATTAGTTAAAATGAAGTGACAGTTTAACAGTAAATTTAATTCATTTTCATATAAAATTGATTAGTAAACCAGTTAAAACAATTTCATTAACAACTGTCTATAATAAAGAGCATATTTTAAATTAATTACATAAAAAACATAAATATAAAAGTTTTTTATGTTAGTTAAAAAAAAAATACCTTGCCCTTAATTACACCATGACTTGCACGAACACCTCCCCACATATATTCAAAACCTTCACCCCTCATTATTGATCCAACAAAACCGTTCTCTTCAATTTGAACATGAAGTTCACTATTGTATGAATCAAGTGTAATTCTTGGATTTTCTTTTCGAGTTTCAACTATTGGCTTTATATCTTCCATCGGCTTAATTAAAAAACATATTATATTTTAAAACTTTAGAATTAATAAAAATAGTTTTCCTCCATTATAAAAAAATAAAACCTAACTTTTATTTAGTTTATATATATTTTTAAAAATATTTTTAAAATTGTAAATTTTTTATTATTTATTATTTTTATTTCATTGCTCCACTTTCTCAACATTGTTGGACAACCTATGTTTAAACTAAAAAGTATGATATCAATTTTTCATTACAAGCATATTAACATAATAAAAAGTTGTTAAATATTATAACATATTATAAGTTGCTCTAAATTATTGAAAGAACTCCTACCTATTATTCCAACTTAAATAAGTTTTTCAAAAAGAAAGTCTGTGTCTCAAAAGAAGCAAAACTATTATCATTTGTAAAACAAACACTTTAAATTTTAATGCAGGAAAACTTTCTCATATTAAAGGATCTAAAAACTTTTTTTTTTTTGCTTTTTATATATTGCTCAGAATATAAAGAAAACCTGTTAGGGTAAAAAAAAAATTTGAAAATGTTTTGTTTGCATGGAATCTGGTTTTAAAATTAAGTTTTTGCCATTTTTGAATCCATTTTATTTTGGCAAGGCAAAAAGTTGCAGATTTTTTGTGCAACTTCTTTCCATTTTGTAATTTAGACATTTGTATTACTTTAAATATTATATATCATAGTATATTTTTTTAAAAACATACTACAGTTTATAAGAAAAAGTTATCCAAGTTCATCAGATTACTAATATTACTGTAGAAAAAAAAACTAATGTTTAGCAATTAATGAAAAAATTTAATTTGTTTATTTTGCTTAAGTATAACAAATTTTCTTTAGTTTACAGATCTAATTCCAGAATATCAGTTCTGTATGCTACATTCCATTTATACCGCAATAATAAAAATTTGGTTTTATAATTAAAAAAAAAATTGGTGTAAATTAAAAAACTGGTTACCCAGTTTTACAATTTAAAATAACTGAAAACCAGTTTTTTTAAATTTTCTGGTTTTTGTTAAGCCCTTTGTAATACCTAAGAAAAAAAAAAAGTCATAATATTTTTCAAAAATGGTACATTGGAGAGAAACTAAGTTTTGTAAAATTATAAGGCTAAAATGTCAATACATGGTGGTCCTAACATAACTAAAAAAAACCCATGTGATCTATAAATTTCAAGTTCTAATTAAAGGTAAAAAATTTTCAAATTTTTTGAAAAATGATTATAAAGTTCATTCTCAAATAAGGTAGAATGCTTCAAAGAAAAACTTTTATTATTAAAATGTGATCTATAAATTTCAAGTTCTAATTGAAGGCAAAAAAATTTCAAATTTTTTGAAAAATGATTATAAAGTTCATTCTCAAATAGGTAGAATGCTTTAAAGAAAAACTTTTATTATTAAAAGTAAATAATTCATTTTAAACTAATTCCTATTCTTAAGTATATTAGTAATTCTTATATATATATTTTTTAATTGAGATAATTGAGGGAACGCAAAGATGAGGGCTTCGGATTAGTTTACACTAGGCAGAATAATAAAATTTTGAATCTTCAGTATTTAGCATAGCAGAAAACAATGCATGAAATTTCAAGAAAAAATTTAAGCATTTTCTCTATATTATATAAAACCATTGCAATTAAAATAATTAATAATAAAATATAATATACGTAAGTTGATTTGTTCAATTTGTCATAAGCAAATAACTTGTGGCAATTCAACGCAATGAAGAATCTCCAATGTCACGATTATGGAAAATCAGTTTGTGTGCAATTGTTAATTTATTTTACTATCAAAATTTTTAAAATTTTTTAACTATTACAAAACAATTTATTTTACTATTAAAATTTTTGTAACAATCTTTAACATTGCATAAGGGTAAGTATTTTATGTATTGAGAAAAAGGGGCTGCATAAATGGAACTTATTTTTTAGTTCAGTATGGAACAACACAGTTTTTATGAAAACTACTGTTGCTTTTCCCAAGGAAATTGTGGATTATTCAAAAAACAATATGCTTTGTACTCATCAGCTGGGAGATGTTGATGTCAATAAATAACTTATCAACCTTAAGGTAATTATGCTTTTTAAATGTATGCAGACTGTAATATAACTTTTATGATTACATACTTTAGTCTAGTAACTAAACTAGTCCGCAGTAACATTGTGAAGCACAACTCTTTGAAAAAAATAATCACTAAATTAATTCTACTTACACAATAATATACAGGCCTTGTTTTAAATAAAAATGTCTTAGCACATTAGCTTTTAGCATGGTGGCCACAAAATTTTAAAAGTTAAATTCCAGGACATTTTATATCTTATTAAATGAATATTATCAATTGATAGATTAAGGGAATATTATCAATTGATTTTCTTTCTAGTTATCAGTGATAACTAGAAAGAAAAAACTAAATTAATATATTGGGGCCTCTAATACATAAGTTGTCCTGCACCTATTTTCTCAGAATTCAACCCCTGTATATATACATAATAATTAAACAAATTTTTTTTGATTGAAATCATACTCTTTAATAGAACTATATAAACAAAAATATTTACAAAAAAGATAAACAAAACTCAAAAAATAGAACTCTTTTTAAACAAAGCTTTTTCTAAACTATCAAGCTTTTTCAATTTTAAAAGTTTATCTTTTGATAACTTTCTTGAATCATTTGAAGTAACTATAAAACTGAAATCCTTTTTTTCCTCTGCTTTTAATGCATATTTATCTGCTTCTTTTATTATATCATCAGCTGATGCTTGAAGTTGTTTCTTTTTTTGAACAACATCAATTTCAACGGAAACAGCTTTTCTTTTTTAATCATACAGTTGATATTTCTTTAAATTTTTTTTGCACTTTCCCACGCAACTTTATGTCGCATTCTTGGTGATTTAACAGATTTCAACATTTCTCTAGTAATTGAAATATCAGCAGCATTTTGTCCCTTTGATGACATGTGATCATTAACTGTTAGTCCTTCACATGATCTTTGAAAAGATTTTGATAAGGCCACATATAATACCCATCTAATTTCAGCACTTGTTCATTTATAAATACCATTTATAAATTTATTAATACTTGTTTATCATTTATAAATACTTGTTCATTTATAAATACCATATCCAATGTTTTAGAAGTAGGTGGCTTTTCAATAACCTGAATTGTACTAGTTTTTAAAGGCGATGAAATAATTGATTCTGAAAAATAATTGCATAATGAACTAGATGCAGGAGGTAATAACTTATGTTTTCTACTTTTAAGATGACTTTTTAATGCATTTTTAACCATATTTCTAACATTAATGTATTTTTTAAAAAAAGAACATGATGCAACTATCATACTTTTTTTATTATGATGCAACTATCATACTTTTTTAATAATTCAATTTTTATATTCAGGTGCTTGCAACCATGTATTTGAAAAATGTGAATCTCGAGGCATTCTGCAATTTATACTTTTACTATTTACACTTTTTCTAAAATTAAATCTGCATATATAGATAACTAAAAGTATTTCAAAACTTTAGAAAAATTAAATTTTAATAATTGATTTGCAAGACATAAAACTCCACAATTTCAGATATAACAAAACAAAAATAAAATTCAAATTAATTTAGGCAATATATTAAAAATAAAGAAAACCTTTTGATTAAATAATAAAACAAATAATTCTCTCTTATTTAAAATTAAATTCAAACCATTTATATAAAAAAAAATTTCGCATTAAAAATTTAATATTACTTCAATATTATTAGTAATTTCTTAACTTGACTCAGAAAAAAAAAAGTTCTAAGACATTTCAGGTTAAATTTGAAAAAAATGTAATTTTCCAGGACATTTCAAAACATTCCAGGACACTTGCAAAACTCCAGGACATTCCAGGACTGTGGCCACCATGTTCTAGTGATTTTTGACTTTTATTTTATTTTATTTACAGACAAATTTTTTTAAACTACTGCAATAAAATAAATTACCTCAAAACAAGTTTAATTTACTAATAAAGAAAAACCAATCTAGAAGTGTTATTTTTTTTTTTTCATTATGATTTTTACTTTTAAAAAGTTAAACAAAAATAAAAAATAATATAAACAAAAATTATTACTAGTTGCAAAAAATAAAAAAAAATAAAAATAAAAATTAAGTTAATTACTTTATCAGTGCCTTTTTTTGTGACAAAGATTTAAGTTTTCAAGTACCATTTATTAAAAAAATATATACTATTCATATTTCTTTTATTATAAAAAAATGGTACATATTTTTTCACTTGCTTTATGACAAAAAAGTTAAATGTACACTTTACAAACATTTTTGATGCAGTGTTTATAACATGTTTATAAGGAATTTAAATAACTTTTAATTTTTCAATAAAATAACATACCAAGGTAGTTTAGATCAAGTATAAATATATTTGATAATCCTCGTTATCAAATATATTTATACTTGATAATGTTATCAAGTATATATATATATATATATATTCTTGATAACGAAGGTATATAAACTCAATATTACTTTGAAAAATTAAAAATAGAGTTATATCCATAAAAATAGTTTTTTATTTAATTATAAAAAATGTCATTTAAAGTTTGTAAAAATTAATTTTTTTGTGTTTTTTTGTTATAAAATCAATAATTATAACAAAACTAACAACAACAAAAAAAATCAAAAATGGCACTAATATAGAACAAAATTTATATTGTGTACTATTTTTTAGCTAATAATTCTTTACTTTGTTTTATTTTTTTTAATTTGATAATTATTTTTGTTATTATTTATTATAAGAAATTGTCTAAATAAATATTATTGTGCTTGCAAGATGATAAAAAAAAGCTTTTTATTATATTTCTTTGATGATTCTTTTTTTATGCATCATATAACTTTTTTTTTTTTTTGCTGAACATTTGATAGAAGTTTAGGTAAATAAAAATAAAACTTTCTTTTTTTTTTCTTAACTTCTTACATTTGTAAATACCATTATAATATCACATGTAACTGTCATTCAAACTTCATAAGCAGTTCTTTTATAAAGTTAATCATATCTTTTTACCTTACCACTTACAGGCTTGGTCGGGAAGCGGGAGCGATCGCTCTCGATTGCTGACCACGTAAATAATATTTAGTTGCGAAAAGCTGGCCAGATTTTTTAGTTGTTTTGAGAACATTTTAATTGGACCGATGAGAGACAATTACAAAAAAAAAAAAAAAGTAGGCAAATAAAGTATCTTTAAACGCGAAAAAACTTTAAGCTAAATAAATTACATTTAGAACAAATATTTACGAAACATCGCTTTTTTATAAATTTTTTTTATAAAATTAAGCAATTTTTTTTAATATAAAGTAACAACTTACGATTGTTTAAAAGGGAAACAAATATTCTTTATTTAACTAAGTTTGCAAGTTTTAGTTTTACTTAAGCTTAATTTATTTTATAAATAAAAAAGTTAATTTTTTTAATACCTATTTTATGTTTCGCGTAGTTTGAAAAGTTTAACATATTTGAAGAGATTCTTCTTAGTAAGATAAACAAATGAAATAATTAAATCATTGAATTACTATAGGAATTAAATTATCAAGATAGAAATCAACTAAAAAAGTTAAAAATACGTAATGACCAGGAAGCGAAACTGCTTCACAATATCGCTGATGATGTTTAGTGAGTGGGTTTTTAATTTTAATTAGTATTTAAAGTAGAAAAAAGTATAACGAGTTTTTTTAGAATGGCAACTTAGGCGAAAATAATTAGAGTTAGTAAACCAATATCTAGAAACTCTTCTTTATATCTAATTATTTGCTATTATATATTTGTGTTCTGTCGTGACCTAAGGCGCGATGCTTGTTCATCCGCGAGTTACTTTGTATGCGTTGTTTGTGTTAAGTAATCAGAAACTTCTTATGTTTGTTACATAATTAGTTTTATTAACTTTTACGATTGTAACTTCATTGAAATCGCAATTATTTTTGTAAGTCTTTGTTTAAATCATAAAAATTGCTTCAAAAGATACATTACGATAAAAAACAAATACACAAAATTACGTTTACATAAAGAATACAATCTCTTTTAAAATAAAAAATAAGAATATACTAATAAAATCTATAATTTATAATAAACTTTTAAAATTTTAACATTTTAATTAATATATATTTAAAACATTTTTTTTCGTAAACAAATAATATATATTCTTAAAACAATACTAGAAATCTCAAAACGTAACAAATCGTGAATAATACAATTTCTAAAACATTTTAACAGAATACTCTAGAACTTTATTTCGCTTAATCAGCGTATTTTTTGAATCAATAGAATTAGTTTGTTTGTTAATTTAGCGGGTTTTTAGTGTTCGCAAATATTCTTTTTATTCTTTCGCACCAAGGAGGTTTAATAAACCTCGGAAACAACTGGCAAATTATTTAATCATTTATATCTATATTTTGACTTGTTTTCAGCAATGTTTTCTCTTAAAATAAAAATTTCCGCGCAAAACATAACAATGTTTTGGGTTAACCAAGATGGCGGCTGACTTTCAAAACTGGCTTCATCGCGTTTTATATAAAGTATATACTACGGCGTCTCCTGTTTATTAAACCTCTTTGTTTCGCACGAAGATAGTTTGAGAACATTCTAGTTTATTATGTTTCCATGTATGTCCGTAAAACAAAAATTCTGTGTTTCGTACATAAACTTAAATGTTCTCAAAACGACTAAAAAACTTGGCCAGTTTTACGCAACTAAATATAATTTCCGTGGTCAGTATTCGAGAGCGATCGCTCCCGGTTCCCGACCAAGCCTGCACTTAACAATATCTTTATACTTGTTTAAATATTTTGAAATGATAAAAAGTGACTCTACTGACTTACAGCTTACGTTAAATGGCTTAACGGATGCATAAATAGGCATGCCATTTAAAGCAAGACTTGATATATGTTAATAATAACAACATATTTCAAACTTGTGAACATTTTTTTGTGAACTTGCTATTTATTATTTTATAAGCTATTCAAAGCTACCTACCTAAAATCAATTTTCAATTCATTTTTCATCATGCATGTGATACTTATGTGATCACAGATCAGAGAGATAAAATCACAAGATCACGGAGATAAAATTACAAGAATTTTGTTATAAAAAACGTGATAAAATCACAAGAGTTTTTATTATTATGTAATGACCAAATTATATTTACATTTTAACATGATTACATTTTTAATAGTTAAAAATAGTTATTTATAAAATCTTTGAGACTTAGGTCTCAATTATACTTTTTATACTTATTATACTTTTGAGACTTAGGTCTCAAAAGTATAATAACATAAAGTTTGTTAGTCTCAATTTTTGAGTCTAACAAACTTTCAAAAAACTCCTTTATATGTAATATAGAGATACTTTTAAAAATTTAATAAAAGTTTATAGCAACCCCTAAAAACAATGTTTATACCAGTATTTTAAAAACCAGTCTCATTTTTTTTTATTTAAAACACCTTTAGAGAATGTCTACCAACATTATAAATAAGCATTTTAAGAAACCGTGTTAAAACTGTGTTATTTTTAAACTATCAATCAATACTTTTGTTACAGTTTGTTAAAAACTTAATTACCAAAATTTTATTTTTTTAAATGCTTTTTCTTATATAAAAAAATATTTTGAAGCTGTAAATCTTTTTAAAATAAAAATTTTAACTACCTCAAATTTCTTCTCTTCTTTTTTATCAACTTCTTGATTTCTTAAAGCTAATGGGTCTTTTTTCATATCATTCGACTTTACAACTAAATCTTCTTTTTTGATTTCAGGAGCTGCAGTTGTATTTTTTATGTCATCAGCATTTAATTCATTTGCTTTTGTGGGCAATGGTTTAGATGGCCCCATTCGAATTACTTCCCCTCTACCTGGTGTTCTATATGCACCTAAATTAATATTTATAAAATAAATAACATAGTATTTAAAAATAAAATAATGTATTTAATTAATCAGCTTTTAAACAAAAGTTGTCAGTAATCAGAAAAAACAAAATACCTCTATTAACTGATTGAGATCTGGCATTATTTTGATTGTTTATTTGAGATCGGGGTGCTTGAGGGGTGCTCCAACTATTAGCACCTCCATAAAAACTACCTCTAGTTGCAGGTGAAACTGGCCTCATTAAGGGTGCAATACCAAACCCACTTCCTCCACGTTGATTTTGATTGAATGTGCTTCTCTCATCATTTGAATAGGATCCTCTCCATTGCGACATTTTATATTTAAAAACTAATAAGATGTAAGTTATAAATACAAATTTATTCCTTATACATATAAATAGATTTGCAAGAATACATTAAAAGCTTATAAATATATTACTAATAAATGTTTAATGTTACTTCTCTGCTAAATGCTTAATGTTACTTCTCTGCTCACACAGAACTAAATATTAAAACACAATTGAAAAAAAATTATGTTTATATATCAACCCTCAGAATTAGGATTTTTTGCAAACCACGTTGTTATGGCAAAACCTTTACTTTTAAAACTTTGTGCTAACCTAATGTTAACTTAAAGTTAAAATAAAAAAGATCTGTTATTTGTTGCTGACCTTATACGTACGTATATATATATATACATATCAACCCTCGAAAGTAGGGTCGACATTTGGCAATGTTAACCTGAAAGTGTTTGAAGTTGGCAAAAAAATGCCAACCTCATTTCTATGTTTTATGGTAACCCATTTGTGTCAAATTTTTTTTTGCTCATCTAATGCCAAACAGTAATAGTTTAAGGTCTTATTTTTTTTAATTTCAAGGGTGAATGTATGTATTTATGTATGTCAGGCTTGGACAGGAATGCTGTGCGATTGAGCGTTATTGCTGACCACGCAAATGATTTTATTTTTTGAAAAATTGACCACGACTGTTTAGATGTTTGAATGATTTTTAAACATTTTAGAATTATGCAGAAAATTAAAAAAATAATAATTAAAAATTAACAATTCCTTATGAAAAAGAAAATATAAAGCACTAAAATAAAACTCAAAAAACTTAAAACGAAAATGAATTTTTGTAACGTTTTTAATTGCATTTTGAAAAAATTACTTTAAAACTTATCTTTTGAAAAGTTTTATTAAAGTTACGCTAAACGCTTTCACAAATTACTTCTAATCATATATTATAATAAGGAACTTAGAAGTACTCATTCGAGTGTGTTTGACACAGTACTCTTGGCAGCTATTGGAACCGAGGTAATAGCGGGAATGAGCCATAGCACTTTTTATTATAAGCAAAGTCAACAAAAGTGTATGCAAATATCTAACTTACATAAACTTCAAACTATGTGATGTTAAAACATACTAAAACATATATCAAGTTTTATAGTTTTACTTTCACTTGAAAATTGCATTGCAGCAACATCTCCTTAAGATTTGACCTGTAGCACTAATTTCTGTTTTATTAAGTCTTTTATTTATTATTATATACTTTTAAAACCTTTAATGGATAACATGTCTACATAGTCGAGTGGATAGCACGCAGGGTTTCGAATGCGGAGGCCCTGGTTCGATTCCTACCACCGGCATTTTTTTTTAATTTATTCTGTTTCAATTTTTCTAAAACACAAAGTAAAACAATTTTGAAGAAAGAAGTTTGTATTTTCTCTTTCCTCTTTAAAAACAGAAGCAAATAAAATATAGGAAAATCATTTTTTTAATGTCAATTAAAAACTTTTTTTTTAATTTTTTTTTTGCCTAATTCTAATTTTATCTAATTTTGCTGCTGAAAATAACAACCACTCCATTTCCAGGGAAGGCTTGAATTTTACACAGTGTTTTGATGTTTTTAGAAAATTTAAAATTATTTTAAAATTCTATTTTAAAAAGTTTGTTATAGTATATAATATCTTTATAATGTTATGTACATAATATTTATAGAACTTCAAAACTATTTTATTTTGTATTTTAAAAAATCAAAAATAATAATAATAAAAAATGTTCAAGAGCAACGATTTGAAACATGGCGATGCACTTTAGAAATGCTATGCGCTAACCACTTTGGCCATTAAGGTGTATTTATGTAAAGTGTACGACAAATGTTTTAATAGTATTTAATTAATAAAAGACTTTATAAAACAGCAAATAAATGCTTTAGATTAAAATTAAAAAGATATTGCTGCAATGCATTTTTCAAGTAAAAGTTAAACTGTAAAACTTGATATGTTTCAACAATACATAATTTAAAGTTTTCATAAGTTATATATTTGCATACATTTTTGTTCGCATTTTCTTATTAAAAAAATCTGCGACTCTTACTCACCATTACCACAGTTGCAATGGCTACCAAGAATTCATTATCAAACACGCAGGAGTGGGCACTACTAACAGAACTAGTATTAAGTTCAGCATTAATATAATGTGATTTTGACAATTTGAAAATGAGTAGAAATATTTTTAGAATTTGAGAATTTAAAAAATCTAACCTTAACTAAATAAAATCTTTTAAAAAAATCTTCATTTAAAAAAGAAATAAAATCTTAAAGAACCAAAAATAAAAAAAAAACTCAACTAAAACTCAAGTATAAAACACAAAAAAATAAAACGTTAAAATTATCTAAATCACATTTCTAATTAAATTTAGAATAACAAACTTAGCATATTTCATATTTACTTATGTTTTGACAATACTATGAGAAACTTTTTTGAATAAAGTAACTTATAATATAAAGTATATATAAAGTAATTTATATCGATTATCAAATAAATGCACACATTGATTTAAAATTATAGCGTTATTTTTTATATATATACTAATTTAAAAATAATAAATTTCCATTTTAACACACACTAATAAATAACAACGCACATAAAAAAAAATTATATTAAACTCTTTTTTATGCAATTTCATACTTTGTTTAAACATATTAATTTAACTTTAAATCATTAAAAATTCATAAATATATATAAATAAGAAAGAAAAAAAAATTAAAGTATAATATTCATTAATACTTAATATAAGAAATCATCAGCATTGACTATAAAAGCGTTTCAATAATAAAAAAACATCAATTAAGATTAAAGTTATTTAACTGTAATGGTTTTTAAAAACATTGGTCATTTTTTTCAAAAGAATTTTTTCATCTTTGAGCATATAAATTTAAATAAATTTTATGCAAAGTTTATTTATGAGAACATAATTGTCTAAAAAAGATGGATTGCAAAATCAAATTAATTTTTCCAAAACCATTTACAAAAAAATACACACTTTTAGAATTTATACAATATAAATAGAAAAAAATATATACAACTTTTATTGATACTTGAAAAAAAACTTTATCAGTAATCTGTTACTATATTTAAAAACGTTTTGCTTATATAGAAACAATAGTGAAGATAAAAGGTTCAACGTTTTTTTTATTTTTAATGTATAACTCTGACATATAAATATAATATGAAAACAATTTTATTCAGCACGTTTTTAAAATGTTAATAGCCATGGTCAAAAAAATTTTGTTTGCATGGTCATATAATGGCATGCAATCTCAAGCCCTCCTGTAACAGTATGATATAATAAATGTACTTAATAATAAATATAAACTTATTTAACAACATATGAATGTATTTAACAAAGCAAAAATCAAATACTCTATTTATACTGACAACAAAAAACAGTGGACTTGTATTTAATGTATGTAAACAACAAAAAAAAACGAAAACGTAACTAAGAATATTTAAAATTAGAAAGCGTTTTACAAAATATTATTTTAGAACTATGCAACATTATGATAAGCAAAATGAATATGTTAATAACAAAAACCCGCTTTTAAAGAATATTTTTTAACTATTATTTTTTTAATATATTCAAACCTCATAGGTTGATTTGAAAAGTTTAACGAAATCATTTAAAATTACATTTATATTTGACTGAATTCCTTTCAACAAACTTATGTAAATAGCTTGTAAATGAAGCTTTGTACCACTTTGTCTTCTTTTATTTTAACTTGTCTCAATAGAACAAAATGCTCATAGTAATGACTTTTTTAATTAAAAAAGCGCACTAAAAAGAACTTTTTATTTACTTTTTAATACATAATATGCGAGTTGCAATTTTCACTTAATTAGTTTACGTACAAAATACATTTCATTATTATTGAGGTTACTCTGTTTTTTTACTTCTGATATTTTTTTTACTCTTATTATAAAATTTTGTCATATTATTAAATTGTTTTGTTATTTTAAACTAAAATTAAAGTTTCAGTTTCATTTAAAGGTGTTAAGTTTTTGTAAGTTATTAACCCACAACATGTAAGGATCATAGTTTATAAATATACATATATAAATGCAGCATTTAATGCACACTGATGATGTCATACTAAAAGAGGTAGATGCAGGGGCTTCAGTACATACATTAACTATCTTATAGACTGCTGCCACATAGAGTGATGTTAAATTGTCTGAGGGTTCAGCATGGAAAAACAATCTTTTCTTTCAATAGTCTTTGTTATTTTCTTTCTTTTCTGAGTAATTTAAGCACACTATATTCCTAAAATAATCTATATAGTCCATAAGAATACAGACTATATTCTTTTATAAGACGCTCATCATTAATTTTGATTACTCAAATTAAAATTACTTTGCTTCTAACTGGCTAGAAACATAAATTTGATATCTATTTGGTAATTATGTGCAGCATTTGATGGCCTTTTTTTATCTAAACATAATTTAAAGTCAAAATATTTAGTTTATATATATATATATATATATATATATATATATATATATACATACATATATATATATATATATATATATATATATATATATATATACATACATATATATATATATATATATATATATATATATATATATATATATATATATATATATATATATATATATATATGTATATATTTTGACTTTAATATATATATATATATATATATATATATATATATATATATATATATATATATATATATATATATATATATATATATATATATATATATCTGTTATATAAAATCTGTAAACAATAGGTCAGTTTAACACTTAGTTTTTAGTTTTCTTTTTGTACCTCAAACATAAAGATATATTCTTTAGACTTTAATAAAAATCGAATGTTATCACAGCCACTTACTAAGATTTAATAAATTATTATTAACTTTCACTTTTACACTCGAAAAATTATTAACAATTTTGCAATGGATTTTTCGCCTTTGGATACTCCGTGGAGGCTTGATGGCCCGCATTTTAAACGAGGACCATCACAAGGTAGCATGATGGGAAATAAGCTATTTATTAGTCATCGAG